TATATATATATATATATACACACACACATACTTATTCACATAGTATTTGGAGTTTATCAAACTGCCATTACAATAAAAGTAATTTTTGAGCTAAAGTCATGTCAGCATTTCAGCAAATCCTACTTGAAAAGAAAATTAAACATATTTAAATTGTTGCCTTTTCTGTGGTGAGGTGACTGTAAAAAAAAAAGTCCAATTTGCTGATCACAAAGGGCAAGAGATTTAAACTGAATATGAAAAAATGCTGTCAAATGCAAAGAAATCACTTGAACATTGAAAGGAATATGTAGGGATGGGGCACAAATCGTTCAATTTCTCAGTTACAGATGGTAAGAGTATTTAAAAGTAACTGCAGAGGAAAGAAAACTTTCAGAGGAGTGAGATTTTTCAAGCTGATGCTTTTTCTTTACAATTTTCTAGTCCTTTTAAAATGTAATTGTTCTGGAGTCCACTGAGCTTTTATAATTCTAAGTTTTAGTCTTTGTATTTGTTGAGAACTGATAGTTCCAGACATTGCTGGGACACTGCAAGTCTGTAGCCTTAAAACTGGTATTTTGCTATCTAGATGCATGTCTGTCAGAGCATGAAGTTAGACAAATTACAGTTCTCTAATCCACATTAAAATAGTTTCTGCAGACACAGCTTTGAGAACTTCCACAATACCTACATTTTAAATCAAGATCTCTAAATATACCACGAGGAGGCAGCTATCTTTATTTCAGGGATGTATGTATACTTGCCCAAGGTTAAGGATTTAAAAAATAATAAGAAAAAAAAGTGTAGTTTGAACAGGGTGAGTAGATACTTGAATTTGGCAGTCAAACAGCAATGCCACCTGCACTATGCATATTTAAGCAAGTGCTGCATCGGACTGTTAAGACACTATTGGTATCAAAATATGGAGGCAAAAAGTGCAAAAAGATTCTGATTCTGACTCTCCCTCCCTCAGACTTTTCTGGTTTCAGCCTTTTAGTGCTCCCACTCCTGGAGACAGGCAAAAAGATGAATTTTATCTATTACGCTGAGATGCCTTTGAGAATGATTAAATCTCTTTTACTCTTTTTCGAGGCCTGCAGGCAGAACCCAGGTTTTCTGCTCATCAATACTCTGCCCTTTACTGACAGTGAAAGGATGTGTCAAGCTCCCTTTCACCAACATGTTGAGACCACACTGTAATGCATGTTTGAATTGCACTATTTGTTAAGAGATGAAATAAAAACTTCAGAAAATGTCTATCAGCAGTGTTGCTAGAAAGGACTGAGTAACTCTCTTGTCTGATGTGAGAAACTGAGACACATCTCTGAATATGTAAAGTGCATTTTGTTTTGGCTGGGACAAATACAGGATGGGTAGGTACTGTACTCATATGAGTTGATGACTTTAATTTTGTACTGGAAAAGAAAGTATATCTTATGGAAAACTGACTTAGGGAAAAGAAGAGAAATAAGACTTGCTAAGTCTGAGCTTCTCCGGGGATCAGCAAGGAGATCATATCTTAACAACACTCACTGAATGCTGATCATACAGGGCTTCAGAATATGCAGCGTATAGATTTGCAGTCTATCTCTTCAGCCCCATGACAAGTATCTGGGTCATTCTTTACTTAGAATTAGAACTATCAAATGTTTTAAGAAGGCTATCAACACTGAATTACTCTTCCATCCTGGAAGAATGAGTTTCATCAGCAGACCAAATAATTACAGAAAAGCTGATGGAGAGTATTCATGCCTGATTTCTCTTGATTTTAGTATACAACTGAAAATGAAACCATTTTGATATTTTTTTAATCTCTTTTTAAGAAGCGTGTTTTTTACAGAAGGGTCCTGTTCAAAAGGAGAGTGGTCAGTGCATATAAGTCAGGTACTGTGCTTTTGAAGGAAGTCAAGCTTAGGTAACTGGTTCATCTGTTATGGTTTGGTCCCCACTCCCTTCAAATATCATACGTTTCTGTGCTTTGATAAGGGAGAAATACATTTGATTAAAAAAATCCTTTATCAATGTTTCTGGAGGAGGGGTGATTTGACACCAAGTTCACCATGAACACGTGAACTTCCAAGAAATGTGGTTTCCCTTTCAGTGATCACAAGGGTATGGTAGGCAGGCTGTTTCTGAGAATGAACAATCAAACTGATTGTTTGAAGATCCAGTACTGATGTGACTCTTCAGAACTTGATTCTGGTTTGAAAGCCTAGAGATTCAGCCACACTAGAAGCTGTTACCTCCTAAAGTTGTATTTACAGGGGACTAGAGTTAGAAATCTACAGGGTATGTAATCAGCATTCTTTTCACAGCCAAAAATTCATCTAATTAAGTACTGAACAAAAGAATAAAACCCCCTATTCCAATTTCAACTTTGTGCAAATAAATGGAAAAAATTAAACTCACTTGCAGGAAATTTTTGTGCGATCAGCCACCATTGTCCACTGCTGCTGATTCGTTGAAACCTCAATGTAGTAGCTGTAGCTCCGATCATCACAGTCCCAAAGTAGCAACCTAAGTATGAAGAAGTAGTTGAGTGATAAGTAAAATAAACATTAAACGAAGCTGCTTAAGTTTTTCAGTCCTTTATTTCCTCCTCCTAATCCTCTATAAATACAGCTATTTCTTTTGGACTGTGCCTCTGACACTCAAGAAAGTCTTTACTGTTGCTATCATCTCAAACTTGAGTGTCTCTATTCTTATTGTCCTAAGGCCAGTAACATACTTACAGGCTTATAATAACCATCTTACTAACATTAATCTATTACATTAATTCAATTACTTTTAATTTATTTGAAAGTAAATAAAAGAACTAATTTATTCAGCAAGTGACATTGCCTGCTTTAAACCTGAATCAAAGATCTGTTTGGAAAGGTCAGGTTAAGAAGGGAAAGAAAAAAAGATTCTGGTGATTAAGAAGATTACACTTTCTTAATTGTATTTAAAAAAAAAATCAGAAATATTTAAAAAAGGCAAGTAGGAAAATGAGAATTCCCAGTCCTTGTTCATCATAATGAGGAAAAAGGCACTGGAGAGTCAACCAAATTGCTAGAAAGAAAAAGGAAAGCAAAAACCATAAAGAATTCTATCCAGCATGTTTGTGGAACAATATGGAGCATCTGCTTTTCCAGTGAAGCGTCTGCAAATGACAAGATGGTATTTACACAACTTAAATGGGCAACAGACTGGCCAGGACAGAGGCATGCCCTTCTGCGATTTCTTCTTTAGAAGCAGTTAAATGCTGACCATATATTGATTAATAGATGTGGTTTTGCCTACATTTTATGTGAAGCCCTTGGCTAGCATCATTTCACTCATTAGCAGAGCACACTTTAGAAAAACTAACTGCTGTTTTCATATAAACTCAATGGCAAATGTAGTATCAAAAACCAAATTTTCAAAAATCTTTTCTGTTTGAGTTAGAGGTGACTGGAGGCACACCCAGCATGCTGCACTTATCACTCTCTAAAATAATGCTCTCTTGTCAATCTACTCAAAGTTTTTGAATTGCAATACTCTAAGGGAACAATCTGCATTATATCTGTCACGGAAAATGATGTTTTGCTGATTTTGTTTTTGTTAAAACTCTTATTCTCTGAACCCATATTCAATACCAATGGAAAATAAACACTCTACTGCAATATATTGGCTGTTACCAACTGCTGCTGTCTCTTGACCCTCTGGGTTCTTGTCAAAGTTAGCTAATGCTTACTAGAATTACTGCTTAAATCTATTTCCTTCAGAAGCAAGTGAACCAGCTGCAGACAAATAACCAAAGCACAACTAGCTATCCAAAACAGCTATAACTGACCTGATGACCTAAATGAGAATAACTATGGCCACATGCAGAAACAGAGAAGTGTGAAAGTGAGGTAAGCCAGCTAACACGGGCTCTTTCTCCAGCTGCAAGGAAGAACTTCCACAGATCCACATTTTTCAAAGTGCAACAGATAAGGATCCACTGACTGCCACTGAAAATAGCCAAGACATATATAAAAAAAGGAACTTGTGTCACACTACAGACTTTCCCAGGAACACAGTTTCAAGCTGCCTCTCTTTAATCGCCTTTCAGAAGAGTCCGCAAGTTTTACATTAATAATTTCTTTCTTCCAGCTGAGAAAGTCTTCCTTGCTTTCAGTTGCTACCTCTGCTGAGAGGAATGTAACTACCAAAATTATTGCTCACTTTTAACTTTTAAAAAACAATACTATTAGAGCAGGAAAAATTACCCAGCCAGCTGCTAAACGCAGAATCCTTCCTCTTACAGAGAGAGACTGTCCCAGGCAGAAGCTGGACCAATTTTGGAATTTGGTTCTTAAGGATACGTGTCTATCTTTGCCCTATAAAGCAATGCTATTACCCTCTTTTCCAAACAATCCAGTTTAGCTCTTTCTTTTCAGGTTTTGGATTCCCAGCATTCAAAGTGGAATTGGGTCTAGCGGACAAGCAGATTTAAAATAAACTCCCTAGGTGTTCTCAATTGAACCCAGCTCATTAATATTATCAAAAAGAATACGCTATCAAAAATAGCTTTAAGAAGTTGAAATAAAACACTTTTAACAGAAGCCTTTTAGCACATATTAATACTGTCTATTTGTGAATTAATAAATTCAGAGCTGACAGGAAAATACAAAAATATATGCCTGTGGCATCATGAAAGACAAAAAATAAACCCCTCAAAACAACCCACAATAAAAACAACCAACTCCAACCCAACTCTCCCCTTGCTTCATCAGATCCTCCCCATTTTGCTTTTCTATAGCCTGAAGGTCTCTAACTACTGAATAGACTGAATGAAGTGCATTTTCTGTAATAAAAAAATAAAATAAAATAAAAGAGTGCATGGATTAAAATCCTGGATTTGGTAACTACTACTAACAGATCCTGAACTGATTTAACATCTATATTTAAACAAAGTCTTCTAAATGATCAAAAGAGGGTAAAGCAAAAACACACATAAATTTGCGGGTTTTTTTAAAGGCTATTAAAATGTAGCTAATTATGCTTTTCAGTAGGATCCTTTTCATCATGGGGGCTCAGTGTTGTTTCCTTGATCCATGTTTTCAAAGCTATGATCAAGAGTTTCAGTATCAGAAGCACACTAGTGATTGCAATTTCAACTAACAATGCTGTAATTAAAACACAACTGGCTTGGCTTTAGAGCGAAAGGCTAACAGGACATATGTGTTCCTTCTAAGCTTCCAAAACAACCTAGCCCAAATCAAATAGGTTTAAAAAGCATATGGTTTGGAATTATTATAAACCAAACAATAAGTGAATTAAAGTTGGCAGAATCTTTCCCAGAGTGACTTAGCATGAATACTAAATGTAGATTTTTGTTTCTTTGGGACTTGTAAAAGAAAATAAAAAGTTCTTTCCTCATCTCCCTGCAGTAGCTTTTTTAGGGGAGACTGGGGAGGGAGACTGACGACAGAACCTATTCAGATTTTATTCTGCATAAAACGCCTTTCTATATAAGCAGCAGAAATTTTCAGGTGATTACATGAATATTCACCAGTGCACGCTGGGCACAAGGGCCAATTTTTATGCCAGGTACAGTAATCTTTGAAACACATTCCAGGCAAACTACCAGCCTAAACTTTTATAGAAAAGCTATGTTTTGCTAAGATGGAGATTAAATGACAGGAAGAAGAATACTCCACTTATTTGTTTTATAGCAAAACTGCCCATGTTCCTAGAATTTTCCATGTTAGAATAAAAAGCTAAATTAGCTCTAATCAGTAAATCCCTCAGGATTGAGAAGGAAAAGCGGAATGAAGCTTTGTCCAGCTCACTCTCTGCAACACTATGAAATGTAAACATCTCTCTGATATGCCATCTCCTTGGGTATCTAAAGTCTAAGCCTGTTAATTTAATATGGTACTGTTATTTACATCACATGTTGAAAATGCCTCATTTTATAAAATAAAAGCTTTTCAATATAAAAATAGAAATAAAATTTCATATTACAGGTGTGGGAAACTGATTATACTGACTATCTCTTTCTTACATCAAAAGATGCTGCAGTACTTTATCAGTGTTTCCCTAAATGTCATGTGTTTCCCTGTGATTGACTGTTCTGCCTTTATATGAGCATTTTGTGCTGTCTCTGCTTGCTTTTTATTCCTAGATTTCTGAAAAAAAAGATTGTCACTGTCTAGGTCACACTGCTGTACAACTACATATGCTCACGTTAGCAGAATACCAAACAATAATATTCATGCACCCAACAGGATGATACCCACTTCCTGAATACTGTAAATCCGTAGTTACCACACACAGCATAAGTATTTGATAGTACTGTGTTTATAAACTACTTTCATACTTATAGAAAGCCCAAAGACAGAAATTAAAACATGAGGTAGTGACACTTGCTGGAATATGGGGAAAAAGAAAAAAAAAAAAATCAAAACATGACGGAAAGAGTTTTTTTAATACAATTGTCTTTGAGTTTTTGCCTCCAGTTTTCTAGAATTCCCTTTCAGTTTCTGCAGATATTTATGATTCAGCAGTTATCTTGCAGGAAACCAATCTTTCTTGATGACCCTACACAAAGGAGACAAAATTCCTGCATATTTGCTATGTGCTTATATGATCATTTATTCTGAGTTACGATTTCTCTCTCAAGTCAGTCAAGACAATGAGCTGGAAAGAAAGAAAAACTTCGTAAGCAGAAGTAGTATGGAAAATTAGAAAGCATAAGAGATGCATATGATGATGGTATAAGCAAACATAAAACATATGAAAGCTAACTGATATTGTTTGTTAATTTAAGAATTACTCTGAATATGAAAAGTAAAACAGCTGGCTATTAGTAATGTTAGTAATAAAGTCTTCTAATAGATTACACCAGGATAAGTGGTTAATCTGTTTTCACAAAGATGGAAAATATCTCTATTTATTTTAACCCGAAAACCATTACGATACAGAAGAATTCTGTCTCCTTCCAACATATACACTGTAACAAATCCTGTTCTTTTTTTTAACCCTCTACCTTTTTTTTTTTGAAATTCAGAGAAAAAAACAAAACAAACAAAAACCTATGAAGTTAGCAGTAAAAGACTGTAGCATAATAGTATTACATTTCTATTCCAGATAAATTCAGGGAGAGATAGAGAGCTATTGTGATACAGCAGCCTTTTTAATATTAAAGGTTTAGCCATTTAAAAGTTAAATCGTGTTTACTATGTTATACATACCAATTGCCATCTTTTTGTTCCTACTTAAATATAATAGTTTTTGTGCCATTCATAAGGGCATTTTCAGAGAGGAAAAATAGAAAGGTTATTTCATGCTCAGACAGGCAACAATGTGGAAAAACTACCTAACGTAACATTTTTATCTGTTAACTGTTTCAAGTATCTTGTAAGCTGTTCCAAGTAGGAGTTTTAAAAAAAACAATAAACTTCTTAAATAAAAAAGTTTTAATTTCTATAATCTAAAAGACTATATTTAGTTAGAACTATTTCAAAATAAAATCATAGAATAGTTTGGGTTGGAAAGAACCTTTAAAG